AGACCATAAACACCGGGTTTCCCATCCAAGCTTACTTATTTCCTGGGTTGTCGGTCGTTCGCCTCCATTTCGAACACGTTCGTAAATCAAGGCCAGTTCAGGGTCTGAAGACTGAAGTTCAGGCCAACTATATGAAGTATGAGCCTCTAGTTGGAGCAGAGAAACTTGTGCTTCGGTGCATGATGGGCAGTCACCGTGATACCTAAGAGGTTTTCTTGACAATGCATCTGCATTTCCATGATTCTTACCCGGTCTATGCATGCATTCGAAGTCATACTCTTGTAGGTGTTCTTGCCATCTGGCAATCTGACCCTCAGCTTCTTTGAAGTTATGTAGCCAGCTAAGGGCTTTGTGATCAGTGCGTACAATGAAATGTCTACCGAGGAGATATGCCCTAAAGTGTTTAACAAAATTGACCAGTGCCAGCATTTCTTTCCGCGTGGTGCAGTAATTCTTCTCACTCTTGTTGAGTGCTCGACTTGCATAGGCTATCACCTTTTCTACTCCATCTGCGTCTTTTTGAGACAAAACTGCCCCGATACCAGAGTCGCTAGCATCTGTATCTAGGATGAATGGACCTGCCTGGTCAGAAACATTGGGATACGCTAGGATAGGGGGGCTACATAAACAGTTTTTAAGTCTTTCGAAGGCTTCCGTAGCTGATGCTGTCCAATTGTAGTCTTTCTTCTTGAGAATGTCGAATAGAGGAGCTGCAAGGAAAGAGAAGTTAGGTACAAAACGTCGATAATACGAGGCTAACCCTAAAAAACTATGTAACTCGGGGGCTGAGTTTGGGAGCGGCCAGTCTTTAACTTCCTGAACTTTTGCTGGATCACATTTAATGCCTTCGGCTGAAACAATGTGACCTAAGAAACACACTTCTTTCCTGAAGAATTGACATTTCGATGGGTTCAGTTTTAACCCAACGGTCTGCATCCGTTCTAATACTTCGGAAATATCACTTAAATGTTCGGTCAACGTCTTACTATGTATGATAACATCATCTAGATATACCAAACACTTACCTGGTATGCAATCACTCAAGACCGTTTGCATGAGGCGTTGGAATGTTGCTGGGGCATTGACTAACCCAAACGGCATTGTTTCAAACTCATACAGGCCTGCTTGTACAATGAATGCTGTCTTTTGCCTGTCATCTGGGTGTACTTCAACCTGCCAATATCCCGATGCCAGATCTAGAGTGGTAAACCAATTCGACCCTTCTAAGGCATCAAAAGTGTCGTCTATGCGTGGAAGGGGAAAGCAGTCTCGTCTAGTTAACAGGTTCAACTTACGATAATCTACACATAACCGGAGTGTCCCATTCGATTTCTTAACTAAAACTACCGGTGAAGCCCATGGAGATACGGATGGTTTGATGACATTTTTCTCTAACAGTTCATCAACTAACCTGTTAAGCTCCTTCTGGTAATGTGCAGGTACTCGCCGTGCAGGTTGTCTACAAGGTGGGGCGTTACCCGTTTCTATGTGATGTTGGACCAGTTTTGTTCTTCCCGGGCTTTTTCCATCCCAGTCAAAACAGTCCTCATATTTGTCTAGCATTTTATTAAAGTTGGCAGCCGTTTCCGATGGTAGGGGTTCTATAGTCGTCAGCATTCGCTGTTTCTCATTCTTAGCATCTCCCTGCACGCCAAAAGTGCCGTGCTCTTTGTCGTTCCCTACAATAAATGGGATGGAACAGTCCTTCAGTATAAGAGTCCTCTGACTACAATCTATTATTCCGGACAGCTTTTCCAGGAGGTCGACTCCCAAGATTACCTGCCACGGCACCCGGGTAGAGATGATGAAATTGTGTTGAAGTGACAGTGTTCCCAATTTAAGTGGCAGCAGGACCAGTCCCTGGGATTGCATGCAATCTCCATTGGCTGTCGTAAGCCGCAAATTGTGAGTCCCTATTGTTCGCCTAAACGTCTCTGGAACACATGAGGAATGTATGACAGAACAAGTTGCTCCTGAGTCAACTAACATAACACACTTTTTCCCACCTATATAACCTACAACTTTCGGGGAGGAGGTGACACCGATTAGGTTTACAGTAGGCACACAATTCATATCGACATGTGACTCACCTGCATTGTGACCACAACTCCTAGCAAGCTTACCAAACCGCCTGCAGTAGTAGCAATCGTTTCTTGAAGTGGATTGCGACTGTGGGCGTCCTTTCCACGGTGGTGTAGGATTCTGTGCATGCTTTGTTGTTGTGTGCTGATATCCCATTGCGTTTACTTGTGGGCATGTGGTTCCTGGCTCTTCCAGGCTTTCCACTAGGCGTGCCCTAGCTTCCGCTTCTGCCATGGATGCTGGAGTGTGCAAGTTGAAGTCCTTCCTGTAACGGACGTCGACACCCTGCAAGAACTTGGAATATATAGCGTTTTCAACCTCTGAATATGTCTTGTCCTGCATAGCTTGACGCGCAAGCTTGCGGAGACGTAAGGTGAACTGGTTGATAGATTCACCTTGTCTCTGGTTACACTCGCTGAATCTTTTCAGCGCTTCAATGGGAGGTATTGGTGGCACTATACGTGCTCTTAGAGTACTCAACAGGGTGGTCAAGGGCATATGCACGTAATCCAAACCAATTGTGTACATTTCCAAGGACCGTCCAACAGAATCGATGACGAATGCGTTCGGGTGAGGCACGTTCATCAGATCAATGTATCGGCACACCTTGTCCGACCACAGCTCGAAATCATCACCCACCTCCAGTGTATGCGGCAAGGGATGGACATATCGCGAAGCAGGCTGATTTGACTGAAAAGCTGGAGCCCTCACTTCAGCCAATTGATCCACCTCGTTGGATGCTGTCTCTTTGACAGGCGAAGTGTTCTTGGAAGCCTCATTGGGTCGAGACTTGGAAGAAGGTTTTTTCGTTGGCAGGCTCGCCATTTATGTAATCCCACTCGTCAAGCAATGATCTGAAACAGAGAGCAAAGCGCACGTTAGCAGCGTGATCACACAAGTGTTGCGTGCTAGTAAGAACGAAGACTCAAGGTCAAGTATTATATTTACAACCAATCGCAATACAATTAGATAAGAGGGAAGGGCACTCCTATTGGTCATCCGTTGCCTCGTCTTGGGTAACCAATCCCTGCATACTTCGCAGCCAACCTGAAAGTAGACAAGCATAGTTTGAACATTAGAAAACCGCCAAACTTACCATGCCTTACACTACCCCCTCTCCCATAGGAGCACTGTCCGCAGTGCTAGGTGACTGTTCCTGCGGGACTTGTCTGAACTAAGGCCTGTTGTCGAAAAGGTTTTAGTCTATTGAAGTGTGTGACTAGACTATGAGAGGAATTCGGTTCCTGAATCCTACAGGTGCAGTCACTTAGTACCTCTACTACAGTGAATGGTCCTTCCCAGCGTTTATGGAATTTAAGAGCTTTCCCTTTAGGTGGTGCCTCCTTAAGTAGCATCACCTTGTCTCCTGGTTCCACTGGTGATCCATGTGCTTTCCTATCATAGTATTCTTTCTGGTACCTCTGGTTTGTTTGGAGTATATCCCTAGTCATCTGATGTACCTTGTTCAAGTTTCGTCGAAGTCTGATTACGTGTTCGGATGCAATCAGTGTATCCTCTCCTAGTGTGTTTGAAGTCAGATCGATTGGCAACCGGAGTTCTCTTCCAGTGACCATATAATGAGGCGTTTGACGCGTAGCTTTGTGAATGCTTGCTCTGTATGCCATTAAGCACTGTGAGAGTGATCGGTCCCATTCCCTGGGGTTGTTTTGATCTACAAATGCCTGCAAGATGGATTTAAGTGTCCGATTGGTGCGTTCAACCAAGCCATTTCCCTGTGGGTGGTACGCGGTAGTGCGTGTCTTCCGGATACCCATTATACGACAGAGTTCGCTGACAACGATACTTTCAAAGTTGGATCCTCGATCTGAATGCAGTTGAAGTGGTGCCCCCCAACGGCTGACCCAGTGGTCAAAAATTGACTCTGCGATGGTTACAGCATCAATCTGTGGTATCGCAATAGCCTCGCACCATTTGGTAAAATGGTCTACCATGACTAAAATATAGTTATTATTTCTGGAAGTTACTGGGAGAGGTCCAACCAAGTCTATTTGTACTAAGTCATTCGGATGGCCAGTTATAATGGGTTCTAAGGGTGCCTTATTATATTTGTGCGGAGCCTTAATAGTTTGGCATACCTCGCAGGAGTCACAGAAATCTATGATGTCTTTCCTCTGGTGAGGCCACCAATAACGTCTTTTAGCCGCTTCAATCATTTTCCCTGAGCCCGCGTGGCCTAACTGCTGGTGTAATGACAATAGTACTGTGGGTAGTGCCGACTGTGGAGCCACAACGCGACGAGTATAAGTGGGTCCATGTTGGTAGTAGAGGATGTCATCGACAATTTTCAGATTATCCCACAGAGACCATAAACACCGGGTTTCCCATCCAAGCTTACTTATTTCCTGGGTTGTCGGTCGTTCGCCTCCATTTCGAACACGTTCGTAAATCAAGGCCAGTTCAGGGTCTGAAGACTGAAGTTCAGGCCAACTATATGAAGTATGAGCCTCTAGTTGGAGCAGCGAAACTTGTGCTTCGGTGCATGATGGGCAGTCACCGTGATACCTAAGAGGTTTTCTTGACAATGCATCTGCATTTCCATGATTCTTACCCGGTCTATGCATGCATTCGAAGTCATACTCTTGTAGGTGTTCTTGCCATCTGGCAATCTGACCCTCAGCTTCTTTGAAGTTATGTAGCCAGCTAAGGGCTTTGTGATCAGTGCGTACAATGAAATGTCTACCGAGGAGATATGCCCTAAAGTGTTTAACAAAATTGACCAGTGCCAGCATTTCTTTCCGCGTGGTGCAGTAATTCTTCTCACTCTTGTTGAGTGCTCGACTTGCATAGGCTATCACCTTTTCTACTCCATCTGCGTCTTTTTGAGACAAAACTGCCCCGATACCAGAGTCGCTAGCATCTGTATCTAGGATGAATGGACCTGCCTGGTCAGAAACATTGGGATACGCTAGGATAGGGGGGCTACATAAACAGTTTTTAAGTCTTTCGAAGGCTTCCGTAGCTGATGCTGTCCAATTGTAGTCTTTCTTCTTGAGAATGTCGAATAGAGGAGCTGCAAGGAAAGAGAAGTTAGGTACAAAACGTCGATAATACGAGGCTAACCCTAAAAAACTATGTAACTCGGGGGCTGAGTTTGGGAGCGGCCAGTCTTTAACTTCCTGAACTTTTGCTGGATCACATTTAATGCCTTCGGCTGAAACAATGTGACCTAAGAAACACACTTCTTTCCTGAAGAATTGACATTTCGATGGGTTCAGTTTTAACCCAACGGTCTGCATCCGTTCTAATACTTCGGAAATATCACTTAAATGTTCGGTCAACGTCTTACTATGTATGATAACATCATCTAGATATACCAAACACTTACCTGGTATGCAATCACTCAAGACCGTTTGCATGAGGCGTTGAAATGTTGCTGGGGCATTGACTAACCCAAACGGCATTGTTTCAAACTCATACAGGCCTGCTTGTACAATGAATGCTGTCTTTTGCCTGTCATCTGGGTGTACTTCAACCTGCCAATATCCCGATGCCAGATCTAGAGTGGTAAACCAATTCGACCCTTCTAAGGCATCAAAAGTGTCGTCTATGCGTGGAAGGGGAAAGCAGTCTCGTCTAGTTAACAGGTTCAACTTACGATAATCTACACATAACCGGAGTGTCCCATTCGATTTCTTAACTAAAACTACCGGTGAAGCCCATGGAGATACGGATGGTTTGATGACATTTTTCTCTAACAGTTCATCAACTAACCTGTTAAGCTCCTTCTGGTAATGTGCAGGTACTCGCCGTGCAGGTTGTCTACAAGGTGGGGCGTTACCCGTTTCTATGTGATGTTGGACCAGTTTTGTTCTTCCCGGGCTTTTTCCATCCCAGTCAAAACAGTCCTCATATTTGTCTAGCATTTTATTAAAGTTGGCAGCCGTTTCCGATGGTAGGGGTTCTATAGTCGTCAGCATTCGCTGTTTCTCATTCTTAGCATCTCCCTGCACGCCAAAAGTGCCGTGCTCTTTGTCGTTCCCTACAATAAATGGGATGGAACAGTCCTTCAGTATAAGAGTCCTCTGACTACAATCTATTATTCCGGACAGCTTTTCCAGGAGGTCGACTCCCAAGATTACCTGCCACGGCACCCGGGTAGAGATGATGAAATTGTGTTGAAGTGACAGTGTTCCCAATTTAAGTGGCAGCAGGACCAGTCCCTGGGATTGCATGCAATCTCCATTGGCTGTCGTAAGCCGCAAATTGTGAGTCCCTATTGTTCGCCTAAACGTCTCTGGAACACATGAGGAATGTATGACAGAACAAGTTGCTCCTGAGTCAACTAACATAACACACTTTTTCCCACCTATATAACCTACAACTTTCGGGGAGGAGGTGACACCGATTAGGTTTACAGTAGGCACACAATTCATATCGACATGTGACTCACCTGCATTGTGACCACAACTCCTAGCAAGCTTACCAAACCGCCTGCAGTAGTAGCAATCGTTTCTTGAAGTGGATTGCGACTGTGGGCGTCCTTTCCACGGTGGTGTAGGATTCTGTGCATGCTTTGTTGTTGTGTGCTGATATCCCATTGCGTTTACTTGTGGGCATGTGGTTCCTGGCTCTTCCAGGCTTTCCACTAGGCGTGCCCTAGCTTCCGCTTCTGCCATGGATGCTGGAGTGTGCAAGTTGAAGTCCTTCCTGTAACGGACGTCGACACCCTGCAAGAACTTGGAATATATAGCGTTTTCAACCTCTGAATATGTCTTGTCCTGCATAGCTTGACGCGCAAGCTTGCGGAGACGTAAGGTGAACTGGTTGATAGATTCACCTTGTCTCTGGTTACACTCGCTGAATCTTTTCAGCGCTTCAATGGGAGGTATTGGTGGCACTATACGTGCTCTTAGAGTACTCAACAGGGTGGTCAAGGGCATATGCACGTAATCCAAACCAATTGTGTACATTTCCAAGGACCGTCCAACAGAATCGATGACGAATGCGTTCGGGTGAGGCACGTTCATCAGATCAATGTATCGGCACACCTTGTCCGACCACAGCTCGAAATCATCACCCACCTCCAGTGTATGCGGCAAGGGATGGACATATCGCGAAGCAGGCTGATTTGACTGAAAAGCTGGAGCCCTCACTTCAGCCAATTGATCCACCTCGTTGGATGCTGTCTCTTTGACAGGCGAAGTGTTCTTGGAAGCCTCATTGGGTCGAGACTTGGAAGAAGAAGTTTTTTCGTTGGCAGGCTCGCCATTTATGTAATCCCACTCGTCAAGCAATGATCTGAAACAGAGAGCAAAGCGCACGTTAGCAGTGTGATCACACAAGTGTTGCGTGCTAGTAAGAACGAAGACTCAAGGTCAAGTATTATATTTACAACCAATCGCAATACAATTAGATAAGAGGGAAGGGCACTCCTATTGGTCATCCGTTGCCTCGTCTTGGGTAACCAATCCCTGCATACTTCGCAGCCAACCTGAAAGTAGACAAGCATAGTTTGAACATTAGAAAACCGCTAAACTTACCATGCCTTACACTACCCCCTCTCCCATAGGAGCACTGTCCGCAGTGCTAGGTGACTGTTCCTGCGGGACTTGTCTGAACTAAGGCCTGTTGTCGAAAAGGTTTTAGTCTATTGAAGTGTGTGACTAGACTATGAGAGGAATTCGGTTCCTGAATCCTACAGGTGCAGTCACTTAGTACCTCTACTACAGTGAATGGTCCTTCCCAGCGTTTATGGAATTTAAGAGCTTTCCCTTTAGGTGGTGCCTCCTTAAGTAGCATCACCTTGTCTCCTGGCTCCACTGGTGATCCATGTGCTTTCCTATCATAGTATTCTTTCTGGTACCTCTGGTTTGTTTGGAGTATATCCCTAGTCATCTGATGTACCTTGTTCAGGTTTCGTCGAAGTCTGATTACGTGTTCGGATGCAATCAGTGTATCCTCTCCTAGTGTGTTTGAAGTCAGATCGATTGGCAACCGGAGTTCTCTTCCAGTGACCATATAATGAGGCGTTTGACGCGTAGCTTTGTGAATGCTTGCTCTGTATGCCATTAAGCACTGTGAGAGTGATCGGTCCCATTCCCTGGGGTTGTTTTGATCTACAAATGCCTGCAAGAGGGATTTAAGTGTCCGATTGGTGCGTTCAACCAAGCCATTTCCCTGTGGGTGGTACGCGGTAGTGCGTGTCTTCCGGATACCCATTATACGACAGAGTTCGCTGACAACGATACTTTCAAAGTTGGATCCTCGATCTGAATGCAGTTGAAGTGGTGCCCCCCAACGGCTGACCCAGTGGTCAAAAATTGACTCTGCGATGGTTACAGCATCAATCTGTGGGATCGCAATAGCCTCGCACCATTTGGTAAAATGGTCTACCATGACTAAAATATAGTTATTATTTCTGGAAGTTACTGGGAGAGGTCCAACCAAGTCTATTTGTACTAAGTCATTCGGATGGCCAGTTATAATGGGTTCTAAGGGTGCCTTATTATATTTGTGCGGAGCCTTAATAGTTTGGCATACCTCGCAGGAGTCACAGAAATCTATGATGTCTTTCCTCTGGTGAGGCCACCAATAACGTCTTTTAGCCGCTTCAATCATTTTCCCTGAGCCCGCGTGGCCTAACTGCTGGTGTAATGACAATAGTACTGTGGGTAGTGCCGACTGTGGAGCCACAACGCGACGAGTATAAGTGGGTCCATGTTGGTAGTAGAGGATGTCATCGACAATTTTCAGATTATCCCACAGAGACCATAAACACCGGGTTTCCCATCCAAGCTTACTTATTTCCTGGGTTGTCGGTCGTTCGCCTCCATTTCGAACACGTTCGTAAATCAAGGCCAGTTCAGGGTCTGAAGACTGAAGTTCAGGCCAACTATATGAAGTATGAGCCTCTAGTTGGAGCAGCGAAACTTGTGCTTCGGTGCATGATGGGCAGTCACCGTGATACCTAAGAGGTTTTCTTGACAATGCATCTGCATTTCCATGATTCTTACCCGGTCTATGCATGCATTCGAAGTCATACTCTTGTAGGTGTTCTTGCCATCTGGCAATCTGACCCTCAGCTTCTTTGAAGTTATGTAGCCAGCTAAGGGCTTTGTGATCAGTGCGTACAATGAAATGTCTACCGAGGAGATATGCCCTAAAGTGTTTAACAAAATTGACCAGTGCCAGCATTTCTTTCCGCGTGGTGCAGTAATTCTTCTCACTCTTGTTGAGTGCTCGACTTGCATAGGCTATCACCTTTTCTACTCCATCTGCGTCTTTTTGAGACAAAACTGCCCCGATACCAGAGTCGCTAGCATCTGTATCTAGGATGAATGGACCTGCCTGGTCAGAAACATTGGGATACGCTAGGATAGGGGGGCTACATAAACAGTTTTTAAGTCTTTCGAAGGCTTCCGTAGCTGATGCTGTCCAATTGTAGTCTTTCTTCTTAAGAATGTCGAATAGAGGAGCTGCAAGGAAAGAGAAGTTAAGTACAAAACGTCGATAATACGAGGCTAACCCTAAAAAACTATGTAACTCGGGGGCTGAGTTTGGGAGCGGCCAGTCTTTAACTTCCTGAACTTTTGCTGGATCACATTTAATGCCTTCGGCTGAAACAATGTGACCTAAGAAACACACTTCTTTCCTGAAGAATTGACATTTCGATGGGTTCAGTTTTAACCCAACGGTCTGCATCCGTTCTAATACTTCGGAAATATCACTTAAATGTTCGGTCAACGTCTTACTATGTATGATAACATCATCTAGATATACCAAACACTTACCTGGTATGCAATCACTCAAGACCGTTTGCATGAGGCGTTGGAATGTTGCTGGGGCATTGACTAACCCAAACGGCATTGTTTCAAACTCATACAGGCCTGCTTGTACAATGAATGCTGTCTTTTGCCTGTCATCTGGGTGTACTTCAACCTGCCAATATCCCGATGCCAGATCTAGAGTGGTAAACCAATTCGACCCTTCTAAGGCATCAAAAGTGTCGTCTATGCGTGGAAGGGGAAAGCAGTCTCGTCTAGTTAACAGGTTCAACTTACGATAATCTACACATAACCGGAGTGTCCCATTCGATTTCTTAACTAAAACTACCGGTGAAGCCCATGGAGATACGGATGGTTTGATGACATTTTTCTCTAACAGTTCATCAACTAACCTGTTAAGCTCCTTCTGGTAATGTGCAGGTACTCGCCGTGCAGGTTGTCTACAAGGTGGGGCGTTACCCGTTTCTATGTGATGTTGGACCAGTTTTGTTCTTCCCGGGCTTTTTCCATCCCAGTCAAAACAGTCCTCATATTTGTCTAGCATTTTATTAAAGTTGGCAGCCGTTTCCGATGGTAGGGGTTCTATAGTCGTCAGCATTCGCTGTTTCTCATTCTTAGCATCTCCCTGCACGCCAAAAGTGCCGTGCTCTTTGTCGTTCCCTACAATAAATGGGATGGAACAGTCCTTCAGTATAAGAGTCCTCTGACTACAATCTATTATTCCGGACAGCTTTTCCAGGAGGTCGACTCCCAAGATTACCTGCCACGGCACCCGGGTAGAGATGATGAAATTGTGTTGAAGTGACAGTGTTCCCAATTTAAGTGGCAGCAGGACCAGTCCCTGGGATTGCATGCAATCTCCATTGGCTGTCGTAAGCCGCAAATTGTGAGTCCCTATTGTTCGCCTAAACGTCTCTGGAACACATGAGGAATGTATGACAGAACAAGTTGCTCCTGAGTCAACTAACATAACACACTTTTTCCCACCTATATAACCTACAACTTTCGGGGAGGAGGTGACACCGATTAGGTTTACAGTAGGCACACAATTCATATCGACATGTGACTCACCTGCATTGTGACCACAACTCCTAGCAAGCTTACCAAACCGCCTGCAGTAGTAGCAATCGTTTCTTGAAGTGGATTGCGACTGTGGGCGTCCTTTCCACGGTGGTGTAGGATTCTGTGCATGCTTTGTTGTTGTGTGCTGATATCCCATTGCGTTTACTTGTGGGCATGTGGTTCCTGGCTCTTCCAGGCTTTCCACTAGGCGTGCCCTAGCTTCCGCTTCTGCCATGGATGCTGGAGTGTGCAAGTTGAAGTCCTTCCTGTAACGGACGTCGACACCCTGCAAGAACTTGGAATATATAGCGTTTTCAACCTCTGAATATGTCTTGTCCTGCATAGCTTGACGCGCAAGCTTGCGGAGACGTAAGGTGAACTGGTTGATAGATTCACCTTGTCTCTGGTTACACTCGCTGAATCTTTTCAGCGCTTCAATGGGAGGTATTGGTGGCACTATACGTGCTCTTAGAGTACTCAACAGGGTGGTCAAGGGCATATGCACGTAATCCAAACCAATTGTGTACATTTCCAAGGACCGTCCAACAGAATCGATGACGAATGCGTTCGGGTGAGGCACGTTCATCAGATCAATGTATCGGCACACCTTGTCCGACCACAGCTCGAAATCATCACCCACCTCCAGTGTATGCGGCAAGGGATGGACATATCGCGAAGCAGGCTGATTTGACTGAAAAGCTGGAGCCCTCACTTCAGCTAATTGATCCACCTCGTTGGATGCTGTCTCTTTGACAGGCGAAGTGTTCTTGGAAGCCTCATTGGGTCGAGACTTGGAAGAAGAAAGTTTTTTCGTTGGCAGGCTCGCCATTTATGTAATCCCACTCGTCAAGCAATGATCTGAAACAGAGAGCAAAGCGCACGTTAGCAGCGTGATCACACAAGTGTTGCGTGCTAGTAAGAACGAAGACTCAAGGTCAAGTATTATATTTACAACCAATCGCAATACAATTAGATAAGAGGGAAGGGCACTCCTATTGGTCATCCGTTGCCTCGTCTTGGGTAACCAATCCCTGCATACTTCGCAGCCAACCTGAAAGTAGACAAGCATGGTTTGAACATTAGAAAACCGCCAAACTTACCATGCCTTACACTACCCCCTCTCCCATAGGAGCACTGTCCGCAGTGCTAGGTGACTGTTCCTGCGGGACTTGTCTGAACTAAGGCCTGTTGTCGAAAAGGTTTTAGTCTATTGAAGTGTGTGACTAGACTATGAGAGGAATTCGGTTCCTGAATCCTACAGGTGCAGTCACTTAGTACCTCTACTACAGTGAATGGTCCTTCCCAGCGTTTATGGAATTTAAGAGCTTTCCCTTTAGGTGGTGCCTCCTTAAGTAGCATCACCTTGTCTCCTGGCTCCACTGGTGATCCATGTGCTTTCCTATCATAGTATTCTTTCTGGTACCTCTGGTTTGTTTGGAGTATATCCCTAGTCATCTGATGTACCTTGTTCAAGTTTCGTCGAAGTCTGATTACGTGTTCGGATGCAATCAGTGTATCCTCTCCTAGTGTGTTTGAAGTCAGATCGATTGGCAACCGGAGTTCTCTTCCAGTGACCATATAATGAGGCGTTTGACGCGTAGCTTTGTGAATGCTTGCTCTGTATGCCATTAAGCACTGTGAGAGTGATCGGTCCCATTCCCTGGGGTTGTTTTGATCTACAAATGCCTGCAAGAGGGATTTAAGTGTCCGATTGGTGCGTTCAACCAAGCCATTTCCCTGTGGGTGGTACGCGGTAGTGCGTGTCTTCCGGATACCCATTATACGACAGAGTTCGCTGACAACGATACTTTCAAAGTTGGATCCTCGATCTGAATGCAGTTGAAGTGGTGCCCCCCAACGGCTGACCCAGTGGTCAAAAATTGACTCTGCGATGGTTACAGCATCAATCTGTGGTATCGCAATAGCCTCGCACCATTTGGTAAAATGGTCTACCATGACTAAAATATAGTTATTATTTCTGGAAGTTACTGGGAGAGGTCCAACCAAGTCTATTTGTACTAAGTCATTCGGATGGCCAGTTATAATGGGTTCTAAGGGTGCCTTATTATATTTGTGCGGAGCCTTAATAGTTTGGCATACCTCGCAGGAGTCACAGAAATCTATGATGTCTTTCCTCTGGTGAGGCCACCAATAACGTCTTTTAGCCGCTTCAATCATTTTCCCTGAGCCCGCGTGGCCTAACTGCTGGTGTAATGACAATAGTACTGTGGGTAGTGCCGACTGTGGAGCCACAACGCGACGAGTATAAGTGGGTCCATGTTGGTAGTAGAGGATGTCATCGACAATTTTCAGATTATCCCACAGAGACCATAAACACCGGGTTTCCCATCCAAGCTTACTTATTTCCTGGGTTGTCGGTCGTTCGCCTCCATTTCGAACACGTTCGTAAATCAAGGCCAGTTCAGGGTCTGAAGACTGAAGTTCAGGCCAACTATATGAAGTATGAGCCTCTAGTTGGAGCAGCGAAACTTGTGCTTCGGTGCATGATGGGCAGTCACCGTGATACCTAAGAGGTTTTCTTGACAATGCATCTGCATTTCCATGATTCTTACCCGGTCTATGCATGCATTCGAAGTCATACTCTTGTAGGTGTTCTTGCCATCTGGCAATCTGACCCTCAGCTTCTTTGAAGTTATGTAGCCAGCTAAGGGCTTTGTGATCAGTGCGTACAATGAAATGTCTACCGAGGAGATATGCCCTAAAGTGTTTAACAAAATTGACCAGTGCCAGCATTTCTTTCCGCGTGGTGCAGTAATTCTTCTCACTCTTGTTGAGTGCTCGACTTGCATAGGCTATCACCTTTTCTACTCCATCTGCGTCTTTTTGAGACAAAACTGCCCCGATACCAGAGTCGCTAGCATCTGTATCTAGGATGAATGGACCTGCCTGGTCAGAAACATTGGGATACGCTAGGATAGGGGGGCTACATAAACAGTTTTTAAGTCTTTCGAAGGCTTCCGTAGCTGATGCTGTCCAATTGTAGTCTTTCTTCTTGAGAATGTCGAATAGAGGAGCTGCAAGGAAAGAGAAGTTAAGTACAAAACGTCGATAATACGAGGCTAACCCTAAAAAACTATGTAACTCGGGGGCTGAGTTTGGGAGCGGCCAGTCTTTAACTTCCTGAACTTTTGCTGGATCACATTTAATGCCTTCGGCTGAAACAATGTGACCTAAGAAACACACTTCTTTCCTGAAGAATTGACATTTCGATGGGTTCAGTTTTAACCCAACGGTCTGCATCCGTTCTAATACTTCGGAAATATCACTTAAATGTTCGGTCAACGTCTTACTATGTATGATAACATCATCTAGATATACCAAACACTTACCTGGTATGCAATCACTCAAGACCGTTTGCATGAGGCGTTGGAATGTTGCTGGGGCATTGACTAACCCAAACGGCATTGTTTCAAACTCATACAGGCCTGCTTGTACAATGAATGCTGTCTTTTGCCTGTCATCTGGGTGTACTTCAACCTGCCAATATCCCGATGCCAGATCTAGAGTGGTAAACCAATTCGACCCTTCTAAGGCATCAAAAGTGTCGTCTATGCGTGGAAGGGGAAAGCAGTCTCGTCTAGTTAACAGGTTCAACTTACGATAATCTACACATAACCGGAGTGTCCCATTCGATTTCTTAACTAAAACTACCGGTGAAGCCCATGGAGATACGGATGGTTTGATGACATTTTTCTCTAACAGTTCATCAACTAACCTGTTAAGCTCCTTCTGGTAATGTGCAGGTACTCGCCGTGCAGGTTGTCTACAAGGTGGGGCGTTACCCGTTTCTATGTGATGTTGGACCAGTTTTGTTCTTCCCGGGCTTTTTCCATCCCAGTCAAAACAGTCCTCATATTTGTCTAGCATTTTATTAAAGTTGGCAGCCGTTTCCGATGGTAGGGGTTCTATAGTCGTCAGCATTCGCTGTTTCTCATTCTTAGCATCTCCCTGCACGCCAAAAGTGCCGTGCTCTTTGTCGTTCCCTACAATAAATGGGATGGAACAGTCCTTCAGTATAAGAGTCCTCTGACTACAATCTATTATTCCGGACAGCTTTTCCAGGAGGTCGACTCCCAAGATTACCTGCCACGGCACCCGGGTAGAGATGATGAAATTGTGTTGAAGTGACAGTGTTCCCAATTTAAGTGGCAGCAGGACCAGTCCCTGGGATTGCATGCAATCTCCATTGGCTGTCGTAAGCCGCAAATTGTGAGTCCCTATTGTTCGCCTAAACGTCTCTGGAACACATGAGGAATGTATGACAGAACAAGTTGCTCCTGAGTCAACTAACATAACACACTTTTTCCCACCTATATAACCTACAACTTTCGGGGAGGAGGTGACACCGATTAGGTTTACAGTAGGCACACAATTCATATCGACATGTGACTCACCTGCATTGTGACCACAACTCCTAGCAAGCTTACCAAACCGCCTGCAGTAGTAGCAATCGTTTCTTGAAGTGGATTGCGACTGTGGGCGTCCTTTCCACGGTGGTGTAGGATTCTGTGCATGCTTTGTTGTTGTGTGCTGATATCCCATTGCGTTTACTTGTGGGCATGTGGTTCCTGGCTCTTCCAGGCTTTCCACTAGGCGTGCCCTAGCTTCCGCTTCTGCCATGGATGCTGGAGTGTGCAAGTTGAAGTCCTTCCTGTAACGGACGTCGACACCCTGCAAGAACTTGGAATATATAGCGTTTTCAACCTCTGAATATGTCTTGTCCTGCATAGCTTGACGCGCAAGCTTGCGGAGACGTAAGGTGAACTGGTTGATAGATTCACCTTGTCTCTGGTTACACTCGCTGAATCTTTTCAGCGCTTCAATGGGAGGTATTGGTGGCACTATACGTGCTCTTAGAGTACTCAACAGGGTGGTCAAGGGCATATGCACGTAATCCAAACCAATTGTGTACATTTCCAAGGACCGTCCAACAGAATCGATGACGAATGCGTTCGGGTGAGGCACGTTCATCAGATCAATGTATCGGCACACCTTGTCCGACCACAGCTCGAAATCATCACCCACCTCCAGTGTATGCGGCAAGGGATGGACATATCGCGAAGCAGGCTGATTTGACTGAAAAGCTGGAGCCCTCACTTCAGCTAATTGATCCACCTCGTTGGATGCTGTCTCTTTGACAGGCGAAGTGTTCTTGGAAGCCTCATTGGGTCGAGACTTGGAAGAAGAAAGTTTTTTCGTTGGCAGGCTCGCCATTTATGTAATCCCACTCGTCAAGCAATGATCTGAAACAGAGAGCAAAGCGCACGTTAGCAGCGTGATCACACAAGTGTTGCGTGCTAGTAAGAACGAAGACTCAAGGTCAAGTATTATATTTACAACCAATCGCAATACAATTAGATAAGAGGGAAGGGCACTCCTATTGGTCATCCGTTGCCTCGTCTTGGGTAACCAATCCCTGCATACTTCGCAGCCAACCATGCCTTACAGCAATGATGTTTGAGATTACCTCATTTCTAATGACAAACTGGCCAATCAGGAGCGAGCAAATCGCTTGTTTATTTCATTCGCGGTCACTCAAAATTACGGCCGTCTACAGGCTGCCGACAGCAAGTAATAATGATTTAAGCGAATTGTATGCGTTAACCACGGGGTTCATTCCCCTTCCTTTAATACTAAGAATTTAGAGTCATTTAGTTTTATAGTGTTACATACAAACGGTTAGTTCAAGTTTATGGTAGTAAAAATAATAGAATGATAAAAAAAAATAAAAAATTAGGGAGAAACTAATGATGATTTTCACACTTACATAGGGCAGTGTTATGAATAGAATATAAGTTAAATCCAAATGCCAGAGTACATACAATATGTAGAAGAAAAGCGAAAATCCAGGAATATTTATGCTACTGTTCTCATTTATATAGTTTTCTCCTTGCTCAAGTTATTCAAACTCAGGAGCCTTAAGTATAGAGCGCTTTCCCTTAGACAAGGGTGGTTCTCTTAAATGGAGCTGAATGACCGTAAAGGTATGACAGGTGAAGCTGGTAGAATCTTTTAGGCGATGGAGATGTGTTTGCAGTAAGGGTAGTTCATGTTAATTTGGTGCAACTTCGGTGGTGAGTATGTCAGGCTGTGTATTCCACTACAGGTTTGTATGAAAGGATTGCGGATATTTTGAGGTGATGCTTGCTAAACAAATAATTGGCCCACCGAGAGAGAGGGCTGTCGAGTGGTTGCGCCACAGGATGATCCTACATGCCGTTCTCGTCTCTCAAGAGGCAGGAATGGGTGTGTTTGGTTCTCCTGAAAACCAATACCCAGTCAATGGGTGTATCACGGTGTGAATATGGTAGTCTTGTTACTTAGAATATTTACTCTGTCACTGGAAACTGGAACTTATCCTGAAGTGTGGAAAACCACATACATATTACCTAAGCACAAAGCAGGGGCCAAAATCAGTGCATGCAACTATAGACCTATTAATATAACACCGGTAATATTACGAGTAATGGAGAAAGTGGTTTTAAGACCAAGTGTCAGACAACTTACTAGAACATGAACTTATCAATCCATCACAACATGGATTCCTCAAAAAGAGATCATGTGTGACCCGTCACATAGACTCTTTCAACGAAGTTACACGAAGCAGGGACAACAGAGAACTAGTAATTGTGCTATATTTCGATATAACAAAAGCCTTCGTTAGGGTCCCCCATAATATGCTAACTAGCAGGTTATGCTCACTAGGGATATGTGACCCTCTCCAGAGCTGGATAAAATCACTTCTCTGTGGTCGAAGTCAGATAACGAAAGTTGGCTCGATGATCTCAAGACCCAAACCAGTAAGTAGTGGTATAATCCAGGGAGGTGTATTAGGCCCACTCCTATTCATAATGTATGTAAACAGTATCTGTGAATGCTTTAGTGTTGGTAAACCAATACTATATGCGGATGACTTAAAAGTGACCTATAAATGCAAGAAGACAGATCTTCGAATAACAGTAAACGCCATACAGGAAGAATTAGAAAAAATTGATAGATGGTGTGACACCTGGCAACTCCAGTTTAATGTCGACAAATGTGGCTGGCTCTGCATAGATTGCAACAATTTAGAACTTGACGTGAAAATTCAAGGCCATGCACTCTAACGACTGGAATCTGTATTGGACCTAGGACTGAAATACTCACATGACTTGTCATTTTCTGAACATATCTCCAAACAAGTGTCAAAGTCACGCAAACTTATCGGCTTTCTACTCAGGAACTTCTACAGAAATGAGTCTAGAATTCTGTTGTACAAGGTTTGTGTGCGTCCCTTATTTGATTACTTTTCATTCATATATAGTAGTATACGCATAGAGGATAAATTGAAATTACTCGCAACCGGAAATGGTGCGAACTGTGCCACTAGATGTAATACCCTAGAATTAGAAGCACCATGGCTAAGACGCCTGAGACTAAACTTAACACTTTACTATAAGCTTCTAAACCACTTAGTTTTTACCCCTACTAATAGCACTCGACTTTCAGATGACAATGGCTACAAACTAAGACACACTAAGAGTAAGTAGCTATTGAACAATATAAAACTGCCACCAGGCAAAAGTTTTACTTGATTAGGTATTCACAGATATGGAATAAACTACCAATTGAAATGCTTTAAGCAAGTACATTGACCTCCTTCGAAAAAGTGCTCAACGACAAACTACAAGAGTTTGCAAACAATAGTAGTTCTAGTTCCTCTCTGAGAGAGTCTGAAATTATAGGTCCATTAAATGTATAAGCTTAAATACTACACCTGTTGTTTTTTGCCTATATTTATAATTTTAGATAGAACAGTAGTGATTAAGATATTTACATTTTTGCACGTGTTTGCTCTGAAATTTATTTACTGCTTATCGTCATATAATTCTTGAAATTATGGTCATAGAAACACAGTTGTTTTAGATAGTGGCTCAAATTCGGTTATAACTGCATTACCGCCCGTTAATACAGTATCAACTACTAGCTCTCAAAGTGGTTTGAGTGCAGATCTCACTCCTGTGATACAGGTGAAAGATGTTCTGTTAGAGTACTCTGAGTTCTGTAAATTAAACCTCCTTTTGAAAGATATCCAGAGGCAAGTAAGTGAACTTCGGGAAAAATTAGATCAGTTTGATAGTATGTCACTGCCAATCTCAAATATTATGGAGAGCCGTTCTGATATTGGCCAGGTTAAGTCTTTGCTGGATGTAACTCAAGACAAGCTTTCGGATTTAGACCCAATAGCCTGTCCGTTAAAACAACATCCTAAATTTTCTCCAGACAACCTAAATAAAGCTGAAAATCTGATTGACTGCTTGGCTACGGAGGTGATGAAGGGCATAACCTCTTCTCACCAAGCTATAGTTTACAACGTCCCAGATTCCCTGCCCCTGAAAACTGTAAGACACAAAATCCTGATTTGTTGCGGCATGGCTAGTGTTCCATGTGAATGCAAAAGACTTCGTAAAAAGTCTAACCAGGCTAATTGTCCCATCATTTTTAAATTCAGTAATTCCATTGATGCTAGTAGGTTTACTAAATGTCAGGATCACTTAAGATTGAATAGCAGTTATAAGTCTATAACCGTAGCTCAGGATAAAACACCGTATCAGCGTAGAATAATGCGTAGTAATAAGCTGGTCCTCTAGCTTAGATTTATCAAAAAGGGATCGTGCACAGCAACAGACACCTAGTGCTGAAAGTAGCATTCAG